GAAATATATACTGGATAGTCACCTGTATGAGGCCTGAAAAATTAGAGTAAGATAATTGTAAAGAGTGGATAATAAACACAACGGACTCAATGTATTTGTTGTTGTTTAGTCATTAAGTTGTGTCTGACTCTTTGTGGCCCCATGGACCAATGCACGCCAGGCCCTCCTGTATTCCACTGCCTCCCAGAATTTGGTCAAATTCATGTTGGTAGCTTCGATGACACTGTCCAACCATCTTGTCCTCTGTCATCCCCTTCTCCTCTTGCCTTCACACTTTCCCAACATCAGGGTCTTTTCCAGGGAGTCTTCTCTTCTCATGAGATGGCCAAAGTATTGGAGCCTCAGCTTCAGGATCTGTCCTTCCAGTGAGCACTCTAGGTTGATTTCCTTAAGAATGAATATATTTGTTCTCCTTGAAGTCCAGGGAACTCTCAAGAGTCTCCTCCACCACCACAATTTAAAAGCATCAACTCATTGGCAGTCAGCTTTCTTTATGTAAGAACAACCTTCAGAACACGGCCAAAGAGCCCGAAAAACCCAGAACAACCAAGAAATTTTTGTGATTGCTCAAAGAGTGATTTCAACTGCTTGATACCTGCCAAAGATAGGCTCGTAACTATAGATGGGTTGGGTGGAAGATTAAATTGAAGCATTGGAATAGGCCATGATAGCCCTTTCCCATCTTCAACACCTCATACTCACTTATGCCCAATTAGAGACCACAAAACAATCTATCATTAAATAAATACCTGAACTATTTCATATTAAGCTAGTCTTTAAACAAATACTTTGGTTTGAATCCAGAGCAAGCAGAGAGGTAGTTGTGCAATCAATTTTTTAAAAATTTCTCCTGCAGCTCTCTGTCCTTCACCCACTCATAATGAGGATGGGTGGGTGGTCCTCCTGCAAAGCGTGGCAGGACACTGAAGCTAGGAAGTAAATATGGGTGGAGTCAAGGAAAAGAACATAATATTTGGCCCATTAAAAAAGGACCTCTGTTTCATTTTTATACCAGTTACTAAAGTTGTTTTCTCGTTTCCCATAAACTTAGTATATCAGAGCAAAGCAAGAAATACAGTATTAGCAAGTAGCAATTCATTAATTCCCATAGGCCATGAAACTGTTCTTTTTACAAACTAGTCTGCACAAACCTTCTGAGTTGCCTTCAGTAGTTTTTTTTAATTGTTTATATTATATTTTAATGCTCTATTTGTTTATGTGATACCCCATCAAAGAACTTCATTTCAGGAGCAGCTACATTTATTCAGGTTAGATCCAGAGTCTGTCTCTTATGGATGGAAAAACTCATTCCATGTTGGGAAGATTCTGTGGAATCTCCCTGCCAAAAGGATAGTGGTAGCAATCTTCCTTGATCCCTCCAGTTGCTCCCCTCTATGTCTCCTCAAAATCTGCTCCAGTGGGGAAGGTAGGTGCTGCAAAATGAAGAGCATGGCTTTCTTGCACCCACACAACTTCTGTCAGTTTCAGTGTTCGAAGTAAAACTCTGTACAGGTGATCCTCGGGTAATGCTCCCATCCCTAGAATAGACCACACTATAAGTCAAATAAATAATACAGAAAATGTACTGTTCAGTTACTGGAGAGTCTACATATTGGTTCAGTCAGAGCTGGCTTTGTAACAGTGAGGAGTGCACCATGTTTCAGTGTTGGGCTTTAATAACTGCTACAGTGCTCTGGAATTCTAAAGCAAAAAGGAAGCTGATCAATACACAGAGTCACACACAAATAAATACACAAGTAAAAGCAGTATGTTTAGAATGAGTGGTCATGTTATTCTGTCAGGGGTGCAGAGGTTCCACATCAACACCAAGTGCTACCCATAGCAAAATGTTGCTAGTTGGTCAGAAGAACTACATGATGATTGGCCCTATGAAGGACCATTCCCATCTCCCTGTATATAATAGCAGCAATATTATTAATTAGAATATTTCTGTGCTGCCCTTCAGTAAAAATGTTCTGTGTACTATATAATAAAATATTACAATCAATAAACAGGTAAAGCCTTTAAAGAATAAAAGAGCGTACAGTATTTGTTAAATTAAACCAGTAACAATCAGAAGAGAAAGATAGGTAAAACCAAACCAAGATCAGCCTACACTAAATGCTAGATACCCTGGCAAAAAATTGATTTGTTTAGCTCTGCAAAACCTCATTATTGATTCAGAAGTCACACAAGTGGGGGGCATTCAACAGACTGAACACTAAAACTGTGAAAGACTTCACCCTGTTCACTTTCCACCTAACATCAAATGTCTGTGGACACAGAGGAAAGACTCTGAGATGACAGCAAAATTTGGGGATGCTCGGTGACCCTTTAATTAATTCAGTTCCAAGCTATGAAGCATTTGATCAGTAATCAAATTAAATAGTGCCCAGAAGTAGAATTATTCTGAATGTAGCTTTTAAGTCAACAGCAATTATCTGGAAGTTCTCTTTATTTTTGAAGGCAAATTTGAGGCCTTGAAAATGGTGGAGGAGAAGGAGAAAATCTACTAATTTACATATCTTGGGGCCTGCTGAAAAAAATTATGGCAGCACTTCCTTCCTTCCTTCCTTCCTTCCTTCCTTCCTTCCTTCCTTCCTTCCTTCCATTTACTGCAAGTAAATGTAGCCATTTTCCCCAAAACCACATTTTTTTTCTTGAGGGGGAAAAAATACCAGTCAGAAACCTTTAGGTCAGAGATAGTTTAATCAATGGTCAGCTGGAAATAATAATTTGTTTCTCTTTAGTAGTAACCAACTGAAGAATCCAGGAATTCCCCAGCTAAGGTGTATTGCAACAGTGTAATCTGGAGATAACAGGGTATAGATAACTAACAATAGGTGAACTGTGTGTTGATTCAGGAGAACCTTTGGCCGGTATACTGACCTAGTGAAAGGTTCTATTCTATACTGGATCTTCACTGATGATGCTCATTGTGGATCCAACAGCACCCTAAACTGATCACTGTGGCCTCATCCAAAACAGGATGCAGTCTTCCACCTCAGGCAAGCTTAACTATCAAGAGAAGCTCTGCCTTTGAAATGAGGTTAAGCTTATTGACTTTCATGCTGTCCATTACCAAAAATAGTTTCAGTAAACGAAGCCTGAACAAGGTTCTGAAGAATACTATCTTATATCTCAGATATAAGGAAGTCTGTGTCTAACATCTGAGATTCTATGGTAACTCTTGAACCTATTCATATATATGATTTAATGTCTCGTCCCCTCCACCCCATACATGCACAAATGTGAGTTCTCCATAGTGAAAAAGAAGAGTCATAGGAGTGGAAGATCACTGGTGTGCTAGCTCTGTGTACTAGAAATTAATGCCTCATTCATTCCGGAATTAATATTGCATTCATTCTTGTTGCACATTTTTGAATTTAGAAATGATTGTGCAACAGATTTCTGTAATGTCTCACTTGTTAGACAAGAAAACGTAACAAGCATACTATCCTGTTAGAATGGCTGTCATTTTGAAACTATGTGCATGGCTGAATCTAAAACATACTGAACCTCTGTAACAGCCTCTACTTTGACCACATTGGTTTTGGATGAGTTGCTGAGTATATTTCAGTCTACTTTGTGTTATGATGGAGAGTAATAGTTACAGCTAGTAAATGCCAAACAGCCATGGCACAGTAGTTAAATTTAGGCTACTATTAAAATACTTCTGCATTTGACACTCACAGCAGACCTGTCGTCTTTTATCTGCCTGCAATTGCAGAACTGGTTGTCAGTTCTAAAGTAATGGTTTTGAGGACTTCATAAATTACCCTGGTGATCCTCAGGAGAAGACAGTGTCACATCTAAATAAGTGTTTTGCTTCCAGGATAATGTATGTCTTCATCTGGTCCAGCAGTCAGCATATTGCCCTCTGTTGATGGATATTGTCAGCTTGAAGCTACACTACATTTCACTGCACAATAAACATGGCTGTCAACGGCATATAAAGTGAAATCAATTTATCCTGTATGGTCAGTGCATTTTAAATAAAATTAATGTACTGTGGGCACAGTGGCAAAAGGTAGCATATTAGTTATGCATCCTCTGTCTTAAGATTTTACCCATAAAAATGAATTGCCTACATAGAACAACAAAAATAATTATTGTGTACCTTAAAGTACAGATTTTTTTTAACAGCAATTTGGCAGAGTTAGGATTCTATGCAATTTAAAATATGGATTTCAATCCTGAGTTGATGTAAATCATTCCTCCGCAGTGAAGTCAACAAACCTTTACTGATTTACGCCCGCTCAGGATTTATCAAACTATGCCATTCCACAGCCACTAAAGATTTGTCATATAGATATTTGAACTGTTAGGGGGAGATTTGAAATGCAGTTTACTTTGATTTCATCCTGGTTGTAATTGTTTCTATGTTTGGAATATTATTTTGACAGCCACTGAAACTAAATTTTTTAAAAAAAAATAAAATTAGAAATATTTCTTTTACTTTGTTATTGTGGAAATGCAGTCTAGTCTCTCATAATATATTAACAATAGTTCTCAATTGTTTCCAAAATATTTTCAATATTTTTGAAAATACTTATTTCATAAGGTTACCAGATTTAGTGCTGAGATGTATGACTAGCACTACTACATGTGCATTGTGTATGTTAATCTACATGAGTATTTTTTTTCTACATCTTTTTAAGTAATCTGGAAGAAAAGCATCTTAGTCTATAGTTTGATGCCCAATCATGGTTTTTGAACTACTATTCTCCTCCAGTTTATTTGCATACCTAGGGTATCAAAACTGTAGCCTCCATATTTGAATAAAGAGACTTTCCACCCCTGATTTTTGAATAAAAATGAGTGATTAAACTCAACTGAACTGGAATTTATTTGTTTCATAAGAAACAAAGCAGAAATGTTGAAATATTTCTGGAAAGAGAAAGAGCTTGAAACGAGCAGGACATAGGTTGTTATCTCACAATACAGATACTTTAATAATGTTTGCATCCATCTTGTTTCTTCCTGCTCTGATATTACAGGAAGTAAAGCAATGAATGGCTCTGCAGCTAAACTACAGCAGTATTATTGTTGGCCAACAGGAGGCGCCACAGTGGCTGAAGCTCGAGTCTACAGGGATGCCCGAGGCCGAAGTAGCAGTGAGCCGCATATCAAACGACCAATGAATGCTTTCATGGTTTGGGCAAAGGACGAACGCAGGAAAATTCTTCAAGCTTTTCCTGACATGCACAACTCCAATATTAGCAAAATCCTTGGTAAGTAATGGATCATAAATAATGGCACAAATAAAGCTGATTATTTCTTTGCAGTTTCAGATGCAGTAGATAGAGGAAATGATATTTTGGATGTGTAAACAAAAGGGGGTACTGGACTCTGGAAGATTACAAACATGGAAACTCCAGTAGCTTGGTAGAGAGCAGTAAATGATTGCTACACACGTTTGTAAACTTTCACGGGCAAATTGATTATGGATAGTGTTAATAAATAATATAGATTCCATATAGTCTTGACAACTTTATGGGATCTATATTATTATACCAACAAATTATGAAAGTAAGATTTAAGTATATAGAATAGTTTGAATTTTCACTTCGAGAACAGAACAAATTCATACAGAATCATGATGAATTATAAACATGAATTTTCTGCCAAAAAATTGACTTGAATTTGTTAGGCTGAGGGATCTGTCACTTTGGCAATATGAACCACTGCTGAATCACTTAAATAAAATATTTTTTAAAATCCTAGCTACGCAATGAACACGGAAATGTGGAGGAATTTTTGCCCAAGAATTGTGTGTTTTTTAAAATCAGACATGATATATTTTACTTGGCTGGTGGAGGGTCCCTTATTTTAATGCTGATGTAAAATCAATTTATTTTGTATTGGTTTGGCATATGTGAATGTCTCTGTCAGTATAAACTGTATCTTTTGCCTCATACTTGCTGTCTTCCACAGCCACCCACTGCGTCTGCTGTGGGCTTGATTTAATTATTTTTAATTTTTAATCCCCTCCCCACAAGGGGGATAGGGATAGTCTGACATGACAATGGAAATTTAGGAGCCAGCAGAGAAAAGGGGAAATCACTCCCTCCTCCTTCGCAAAGTGAAACTGACCAGAGAAATTTATAATATCGGGAACTTCTTCATGAAGGAGGAGAGAGTGATTTTCCTGTTTCTCTCTCTGCTGTCTCATAAATCTCCATTGTCATGTCAGACTATCTACCTTTCTTAGATTTTTTTAAATTAAAAACAACCCCACTGCAGAAGCAAGAAGTGCTGCAGCAGGCAGCCAACAGGAGGGCGGGCACATACAGAATAAAGACTCAAATGCAACAATTCAAAATGGTTTAAAATTTTGAAAACATGTCTGCAAACATGCCACTTAATAGAACGATTTAAAACTCTCACATGTAGTTTCCAAAGTGGTTTTAAGCCACTATTTTATATCGGAGTAATAATTTTCTAAATGAATGCACACAGTGATACAAAAAACATGTGACAGTAAATCAATTTAAAATACATCAGAGCTGAAACCGATACAAATCAGCAGTGTGACTGAGTCCTAAGAAAATGTTTTACTCAATGCCAGAGCAGGTCTTAAGAGCACTCAGCACAACTGTGTAGTCAGCACATAACATAGCATCTAAAGGATTATCAAGATTGAATTTTTGTTTAAGAAAAAGAAAATGTCTTGAGAAAACTTAGAATAACTCAACTTTATTTAGTTCTTGGGGGGCGGCGGAAGAATTTGACCAGTGTGACATATGTGACTAGTATTCCAGTTTTATCTTGCAATAATACCTTTGCTGAATTGAATCTCTCAGGGGAATTAAAAACACAGAGGAAAACATTTAAACTGATACTTGTCCACCAAAGTGTTTGAAGTGAAAGACAGATTTTAAATGTTAGCTCATCATAAATAATAGTGACAATATCTGCAATTATTTCACTGCACAATATTTCACATTTCAACAGAACGGTTTCTCTTTTTCATTTTATTTTTCCCAGTGGCAAAAAAGCTCCCTAGCCCTCCCTCCCTAGAAATAAATGTAGCCTCGTTCTTAAAATGTGCAGTGTTTTACATAGACGTTCTCATATTTGTTTACCATTTTTAGTAAGTTATATGAATAGCCTTTCAGTTTTGTATAAACCCTGTACTGTTTCAGTCTTGGCAACTATGTGGAATCTATATTATTTGTGTGCATTCTTTGAAGAAAAGAAAACTACTACAAGCATAGTAACAGTATTCATTGAAATGTAAATATTCAGTATAAATACTTCAGAAGTCCCAGCCATCGTATGTTCTTTAAAAAGTGGTCTAACCTGCCAGGAATTGCACCACCACCACTAAACAGAAAATCTTTTTGCTCTTTTTCTGTGTAACATATAATATCTGTACACATTTTTTTTAGGACAATGACAGGGGAGAAAAGGAATATGAACTATCCGAAGTGACAACAGAGCATAGCTGATTCAGGATAATATTTATACAACTTTTCCATTTGTTGATATATAAAAGCTCATGGTAGAAGAATAGCTTCCACCCACTTTTACCGCAGCTGTAGTCATTATAACCAGCTGAAAGTTCCTTTAAATTTTTTTTTAATTGCCATTTTTCACTGTTTAGGTAGCTGTCTATAAACAAAATAATAGACCTGAATACTTTTCTTCCTTTTATGTAAACTGTTCTGTATTTTTTTTTGTCTTTTATTAGTGTGGTTTGTGATGAATGATTAGCCTAATTAAAATAGTCAAGAGCATTACAAACACACTTTCCACTTTGTTTCAGACAGTGTCTGAGGACAGCTCAGTGTTCTTTTTGCATGTGGCTGGACATGAGATATGAAAGGTTTAGGGTGTCAAAAGGAAGAGGCCTTTAGATCATATATACTAATAGCGCAATCCTATACCTAGAAGTAAATCCCAGATTACTATAAGGTAATGGTTCCCAATTTTTTTTTTTCGACATGTGGTTCCCTTGACTTATTGGCTACTGGCCATGGCTCCCCCAGTATGATACTTTGGGAGAACGGGGGGGGGGCTGGCTTGAGTGGTACTAACATGGATTATGCAGAAGTATTTCCAAGGATTCCATGGCACTCCTGGCTGGGCTTGGCAGCACCCCAGGGCACTGCAGTTTTCTCTAATTTGCAAATGAAGGAAGTTTTTGCTTATTTGTATATCAAAATACTGATCATCCAACATGAATTCTTCCTAACCATATATCCATGTATGGGTGATGTGGAATAAAGTTTGAGTGCATTAGTTGTGGACTAAACATGTTTCTAGTCATGTCAACCCATGAGCTATTTATGTACTTAAGGGCTAGGACATGGCCAGTGAGATATTTTTCTCTGGACAAGTCCCTTGTGTATATTTAAAACTGCTTTTGAATATTATCTCAGTTTCAAAAAGGGAGTACCATGTACCACCTAGGGCTGATGCTTTTGAAATACAGGCCCAGAAGCACTGGAATGTATGGTACTGTCTGTTGTGATTTGTTTTTCACCCATACAAGTAAAAATATGAATGATCAAAAATAATTGAAGACTTTTTTTTTGAAAGAACAAGAACTTCATAGTGATTCAAAGATACAGTCCTATATTCAGTCCATACATGAAGCAATCAAGATCTCACCAGAACATCTTGCCTGCTTTGGCTGAAATCCCAGCAGAACAGTAGCAAAGTGAAAATTCTTACTAGTGCCAGGCATCCCACTGTCCTTGCTAAGGTAGTTGTGTAAACAATTGTGTGGGAGATTGTTCACTAAAAACTGTGCTCAGAACCACAGTAGTGAAGATGTGTAATTAGTGGCATAGCAGGCCTTCTTTTAGTGCAGTGTTTTAGAATACAGATGCGTCTCTGGCAAGCATTGTAATATCTTTCATGATATCATGTTTGCTGCCTCTTATGGTATCCTTTTCATAGTCTGTTGACCTTCCACGAGTTGTAGATTTAGAAGAGATAGCTGTGTTAGTCTGTGCAAGCTTTTCAGGCAAAGCCCAAAGGGAGAAAAAAAAATAGTATAGAAGAAGTGGCACTTTAAAGACTAACTTTATATATTTTAATGTGAACTTTGTGGACAGATCCATTTTTTCAGACATACGGTAAAATATGGACTCTAAAAGTAAAACATCCACGCCAGCTTTGAGAGTCAGTGGTGTACAGTTGTAACTCATATGTGCAGTAATGCTTGGCCTATGTTTGGTATTAGGTTAGTCTGGTTTGTAAACATTCCCATCAGAGAAAGAAAATAAGGCAAGACCAAAAAGGGGGGAAGGGAGGAATGTACATAACAATTTATCTTTAATTGTTCAGTAGTAAGGAGGAATAAGGGAAAACCTCCGTCTACCAGAGAATCTGAGTGATTGGAGAAGTAATGAGATTGGTAGCATAGAGTACAGAGAACACTCCTGGCCTGTTTCAAATTCAGAATGTATTCCAGATTCATAATGTCAGAGGGGCTGGTGGGGCTGTTCACTCTCTGTGGCAGAAAGAACTATTTAGCGCAAGCATGGGGAAACATATCTCTTCCACTGTTGCGGGACGTTGTCCCCCATCAGCTCCAGCCAGAATGGTCAGTCGTCAAAGGTGAAGGGATTTATAGTGCAGTAACATCTGGAAGGAACTTCGGGCTTCGTTTAGAGATTTGTGGAATTATTTGACCCATAAACCAATTTGAGAACTCACTGATACCTTGTTCTTTTGTAGGCTCCCGCTGGAAATCCATGTCAAACCAAGAGAAACAACCTTATTATGAAGAGCAAGCCCGACTAAGTAAAATTCACCTAGAGAAATACCCTAATTACAAATATAAACCTCGACCAAAACGCACCTGCATTGTCGATGGAAAGAAACTACGTATTGGAGAATACAAACAGCTCATGAGATCTCGAAGGCAAGAGATGAGACAATTTTTTACTGTAGGGTAGGTACTTGAGTTGCTTTCAGTAGAATTCTTTGAGTGTGAACACTGCTATCACCCACATATTTTCCTACCTACAGTGTTGGGGCTCTTTTCCAAGATTCCCTTTTCTATCCTAACCTGCATTCTTTATTGGTATACTTCTTTAGACAGTCACTGGTGACAGTTTGGTAATCTGCACACCAGACTCCTAAATATGCATGTGCTGGGAACTGCTTGCGTGTTCATTTGAAACAATGTCACTCCATGATTCCCTCTATTGTTGCTGCTAAATACAGTGGTACCTCGCTAAATGATGACCCCGCTAAATGATGAATTTGCATGACGATGACTTTTTGCGATCGCTATAGTGATTCGCAAACAGTCATTCCTATGGGCAATTTTCACTTAACGACGATTAGGTCCGTGCCTCGCGAACCATTTGTTCACAAGAAGATGATTTTTTTGGCTCCGCACAATGGCAGCCCTGTCTTTTCCGGACCCATGCTTCACAGGACAGCCATTTTTACAGCTGATCGGCACTCACAAAATGGCTTCCCTATGGGCGATCTTCACTGGACAACAAGGTATTTTCCCCATTGGAACGCATTAAACCGGATTTCAATGCATTCCAATGGGGAAAGGGTTTTCACATGATGACGATTTCGCTAAACAGCGATTTTCCCAGGACAGATTATCGTCATCATGCGGGGCACCACTGTAATAATGCACTTTTCCCTTCAACAATGCTGAGGCTAGGGGCGCACAACCCCCATGTAATTCAGAATCCATGTGTAACTCTTATGTCCCCCAAAACTTCTGCAAAGTCTCTATCAGAGGAGGAAAATGGGGGTACAATCTCTCTCCCCACCACCACCAAGTAGCACACAACTGTGACCTACCCTGACCTGCATCAACCTCCTGGCATGCCCCAGCACCCTTCCTGGCTACCACATGGACCCATCATAATAGGAGATAAGGCCAGCTGGTCTTCTGCCACCAGGCCGGTTGCCGCTGCAGCACCAGCAAGAGGGCCTTTGGTAAGTCTGAGACCCACATTTCTCAGGCCACTTCCTGGCGATGAATAGCTGCACAATATTTATTGAATATTTGTTTATTGAAATATTTATTTATCCATGTATAATCAAGACCATGCTGTTTGGACCCATGCAATCCAAGGGAGAAGTATACAGTATAACTCTGGATGACCAAAGTATAGTGTACTGTAAACTGCTTCCAATGGATTCTTCCATTCAGATGGCTCTTCTTTAAGCTACTGTCTACTAAACTACATATCTCTAGGAGCTTCTGATCTTTGTTCACCTCAGGTTTTCCTGCTGTTCTTTCCCCTTGCTGTTCTGACTCTTCCTGTTGACACTTCTACAGTTGCTTTTAATAACTGAGGCTAATTGTTGTTGTAATGAGCTCATAGTTTCCCCTTAAAATGGGGGAAGCCCACTGCTAAAACCATCTGGAATGGAAGTCCAAGACATTCACAGTCCATGTTTCTTTAACTTCAAATGCTGAGTTTCAATGCAGGAGCATGGACAGAATCAGCACGGTCCACATCAGAAGTCATAAGAAGAGCCACGCGTATACTTCCGTATCCAGTGATGTCCTTTTATATCCAGTGCCAGTATAACTGGGACTCCCTGCAGCCTTCCCTGGCATGAAGAAGCCAACCTTCCTAAAGCATGTTTAAGAGTCCAAAGAGAGTGAGGTTCCCATTTGTGGATGAAGCAGTGGGACTTAGCAGTGGGACCCAGGGAGAGTGCACCGCTGAATCTTAGCCGTAGCTTTCTAACAAGAGCAGTAGCAGAACACTGGAAACTGTGTTATACATAAAATGAATATAGAGAAGACCTTGTTATTCACAGGGCCTGCAGCACTGCTTTGCTTCTGCTGCTGTTTTCCAGATTTCAGATTTTTGTCAAAGTCCATAGAAATCTAGAAAGCCCATTTGCCCCATGGCCATGCATGAAAAGAGAAAGAACTTATCTTCCCTTGCTGTTCCAAGGAGATATGATTTGCCCATTATAGATCCTGCCAGGGTGTGTGTACGGGCCAACTGTGTGTCTACCCGTATGTACTTTTCATAGTGCATATAATACTTCGCCTTTAAGGTGCCACATGGTTTTTGTCCTTTGTCTGTTTGTTTGTTTTTCCTTTGGAATTTGCCCGACACGTTTCCAGATGGCAGTATGCTATTTCTCTTGACTCTGAATAGAATCTGCAGCCCCCTAGCAGACAGAGCTATTGTATGCCTTCAGTCCTAGGTTAGAGGATCACTAAAGCAATCCCATCTTAACTGTCTCTGAAACAACAAAACAATCTTGATGCGTGCTATGTGTCTGGGAATTTCAGGGGGAGACTTCTCTCGCCAGCCCTTCTACATTCATAGTTTTCTGTTTATTCCGCTAATCGTGATAGTCTTCTTTTATTGTGGACTTCACAACCAGATAATTGACCTTGACTGTTTGGTTCTGTGCCTTGTTTCTGGTCTGGCATGCAGAACTCACATTGCAGTCAATTATTTTGTGGTACAGCCCACAGCAATGTGGGTTTGGGTCTAAATCAGTTCTTGATATCTGGGAATATGTTGGAGGTTTGAAATATGATGAGGCAATAGGCCCAGATATTCTATATTAGGAAATAGCTGGCTGACTTCAGCCAGCAAAGAAACTATTTAGAATATAGAGTTGGAGATATTCAGACCTATCAGTCAAACCTTCTAGTAGCTTAAGGGCATTGCTACCAGTGATGCCAGATAATCCTGTGAAATAGCAAAATTTATGGCAACTGAGGGAAAATAGTGAATAGTTCTAATTTGTCTCGCCTTTGTGAGGGAAAACACGAAGAGACAATTGTGTGCATTTATGCATTCACTCCTGTATAAGGAGAAAGCATTCTTTCATCCTATAATGAAAGAAACATATAAGTTGAAGGATGCAGAACTGCATGCACGGGAAATGGTATGAGAGAAAAAGAAATTGAAAAAAAGAATGAATATGATAGGCAAATGTCTAGAGTTATACACAATTTCCATTCTTCCCCATTCAGTGTTGCTGAAAACACTCAAAATGTAGCTTTGCTTGGTTTTTATTTTATTTTATTTTTATATTTATTTATTTCATTTATACCCCACCACTCAAATTGTAGCTTTGCTTGGTTTTGAAACTGACCTGGAATTTCTAGAACTGTCCAGTCAGATGCAGCATGAATTACCTGATAGTTTAAAAAAAAAGGGGGGGGGCTCCTTCCTGTTGTTGTCTCAAGAGATACTCTGAAACATCCAGTATATGAAGACTGAGACAAGAAGACTGTTTCAGAAACTGCCTGGTATTTTCAGTTGGACAAAAAGATTGTGATCTGGTCATTTGGCAGGGGGGAATTTGTTTCTGATTCACTTGTCATGGTATGATCACTTCCTCATGGGAACTGGAGTTCCACTAGTTATTTTCCCCAGCAGGCCTGGCCGACCCATTAGATCTATCAAGCTAATGGATTCTGATGCATTCCTGAGAACTCAGCCTTTCCAAAGTTTCTTGAATGATTTGGGTGGCAACTAGAGATGGCCACAAGTCAGAAAAAAAAAATTGTGTTTCATTGTGATTTGTGGTTTGTCACAGTCAATTCGGCCACTTCTTAAAAAGCCTAACCTGGACCCAAGGCTGGTGGTTAACTACTGACCAGTGGCGAACCTCCCTTATTTGGACAAGGTGTTGGGTTGTGGCCAGACAACTCCAGGGGCTGCTGGATGAAATGGATTTTCTGGATCCATTTCAGTCGGGTTTCAGGCCAGGCTTTGGTACAGAGACTGCCTTGGTCTCCCTGTACTTTGCTGGGAGAGAGACAGGGGGAGTGTTACCCTGTTGATACTCCTGGACCTCTCAGTGGCTTTCGGCACCATCGACCATGGCATCCTTCTGGATAGGCTGGCTGGGTTGGAAATCAAGGGCACCGCTTTATGGTGGTTCCGCTCATTCCTGGCTGACCATGTCCAAAATGTGGTGTTGGGGGACAGTTGCTCTGCCCCATGGCATTTATGTCATGGAGTTCCTCGATACTGTCCCCCATGCTGTTTAATGGACCCACTTGGAGAGGTCATCAGGAGGTTTGGGCTGAGGAGTCAGCAATATGCTGATGACACTCAGCTCCGCCTCTCATTTTCCACCAATCCAGGTGAGACGGTTTCTGTGCTGAACTCGTGTCTGAACCTGATAATGGACTGGATGAGGGTTAATAAATTGAAATTCAATCCAGACAAGACAGAAGTGCTGTTAGTGGGTGCTTCACCGGACAGGCTAGAGAGCCATTTCCCTGCGCTGAATGAGGTTGTACTCCCCCTAAGGGACAGGGTCCGCAGCCTAAGGGTTTTCCTGGAACCTGGTCTAGTTCTGGAAGTCCGGATGGACTTGGTGGCCAGGGGCACCTTCCTCCAGCTGTTGGAAATTATACCAGCTATGGCGTACCTGGACGAGCAGAGTCTCATGACAGTTACGTATGCACTGATAACATCCTGTATAGGTTACTGCAATGCGCTGTACCTAGAGCTGCCTTTGAAGACAGTTTAGTGACTGCAACTGGTCCAGAATTGAGTTACGCAGCTGGTGAGTGGTGGGGCCACTAAGGAACACATCAGGCCGATTAAATTATATTGGCTACCAGTCGCTGCCCAGGCCCAATTCAAAGTGCTTGTTTTGACATATAAAGCCCTAGAAGACTTGGGCCTTGGATACTTGAAGGACCATCTCCTTCTATATGAACCTACCAAGCAATTAAAATCTAGCCAGGGGGCCCTCCTGAAAGACCCAGCCCTCAAGGAGATAAGAGGGACGGCTTGTAGACAAAGGGCCTTTTCGGCAGCTGCTCCCAGACTATGGAATGCCCTCCTGACTGAGATTCATCTGGCGCCGACGCTGATGACATTTCAGTGCCAGGTAAAAACCTTCCTGTTCCAGAAGGCTTTTAATTGAAATAATATCAACTGTGGGTCCTGATGGCAAATTTTTAAGTATATATTTTAATTGTATTTTAATTGTTTTATCTTTTTTAAAAATTGTATTTTAATTGTTGTAAGCCACCCAGAGACCTTTGGGTAGTGTGGGCGGCATATAACTTGAATGAATGAATGAATGAATGACCAAATGAATGAATAAATAATAAATAGTGCCTGGAAATGGATCAGCAGCCAATGGAGCTGCAGCAACAGGGCAATTATGCAATCCCTGTAGCCAGCCCCAGTTAACAATTTGGCTGCAGCAATTTGAACCCACTGAAGTTTTCAAACACTTTCCAAAGTAAAGCATGTCACCGTAATCCAGCCGGGATAAAGCTAAAGCGTGTGTTACTGTGGCCAGGTCTGACCACTAAACTCTAAACATTACAAATACGAACCAATGAATTTGCATTTTTAAAATGCATTTGGTGATTCATTTTTGTAAAAAAAATTGTGCCCAAAATCACAAAAAAATTCAACCATATTCATCAGGGGCATTGATTTGTACAAATGTGAACCAATGAATTAGCATTTAAAAATGCATTTGGTGATTCTTTTTTTTTAATTGTGCCCATCTCTAGTGGAAACTTCTGTCAAAATCATAGTCACTTGCTAACATAGCAAGATGTCTTCCTGGAGAACACAGTCTCCTACTTAGCATAGACTTTTCAACATCTTAGTCTACCTGGGAATTGAAGGCTATGAGACAGGTAGGGGAATGCCTTGAACTTGCAAGACAGAATACCTTACCTGATATGAATATGACCAAATGCAAGTAAGGCTTCATTAGTACAGTCTATGGTAATGATACTGTATCAAGAAACAGCATTTCATACATATACATGATTCATACAGTTCCATTTATGAGTGGACTCTTTTGTTTTTTTGAGTTCCCAAAGCTTTTGGAGGTCCAAGATCGTCTTCAGCTTGACCCACAAAATGATATGTAGGAACACTTAAAGGGACACTGTTCTCACTGTTGAAGATAAAATTGTTCACATCTACCATGATGTGGATGCCTCTCATTTTATTTTTGAGTGTATGGTTATAGCTAGAAGAGCAGCTGGTTTTCTTATGACAAATGAATTACAATTATTCTAGTCTAAGATCATGGACATAATTTTAATAATATAATGTCAGTAAATACTTACCTTTTTGATTGCTAAGGAGAAATTCTTGCTAAAAAAATCTTCCATACCTTTTTGAAAACATTTACTGGAATTGAAAATGCACTTCAATTCTTGTCACTTTAAAATTCCTGATGCCAAAAAAAGAGAGAGCCCTCAGAGGCATCTGAATTTAAAAATATTCTGATACAGTACTTTTTCCTACAACTTATTCCTCTCCCGTCCCATTTTAGTCAAATAAATTCTGTTCATATATACATTTCACCTTCTAGTTTGAGAAATAATGTGAACATTTTTGTATTGTTTAAGATGATGTGGAAAAAGCATCCTTGTATTTATGGCTACTAGACCTACAGAAATATTCTGAATATTTTGTTTCAAATACAGTGGTGCCTCGCTTGATGAGGATAATTCGTTCCGTTCAAATCACTGTTAAGCGAAATCCTCATCAAGCGAAACGAAAAGGCCATTGAAATGCACTGAAAACTGGTTCAAGGCGAAGTACCTCAGCATCCAGCGAAAATCATAGGGCGGCTATTTTCGATGCCTGTAAAGTGAGGAATCCATCCTAAAACACAGCGGTTTTAGAGGATGGCAGCTCTGTGTTTTTTCAAGTCATAGTTATAGTTATCTAGTGCTAAAGTAACTACTTTCTATAGCCAAAAGAACTTCCCCTACCATAGTGAGGGACTGTCCTGTGCATTCTTTGATCTTCTGTAACCTAATACCTGGCCAAAAAAAAAAAAACGGCTAGTGCATAACCCTATTTTAGTGTGCATGAGAGGCTGCGGGATCACCAATGGAGGGGGGGGAGGAGATATGAGATCGGGCAGATTGTGCTGTTCACACAGAACAGAAGTGAAATTCAGTGCCAAGGAATACATAGACACAAGTCTCACATTAAAAAATAGCAGTTATCAGGAAGTATCAAAAGAATATTTCAGTTTCCCAGGACACTCATATGTAGACTTTACAGTATCCACAGCTCAACAAAATAACTTTAAGGAAGAATTTTCATATGAGCAATTGAGCTAGGATTTAGTAACATATCCATTTTGATTGAATTAAGTATAAAAGAGGTTGAGGCTCTTTCTTATTTCAAGAACTCAGTTATTCCAGGTGATCACATTGGCACACCAACAATAACTATACTAGCATCATGTGCTAGTAGACACTCCATGTGTGAGGAAGTAAATTTTAATCCACAAAAAGTCTCACTGGAATATACTGGCTAGTCCTTAAAGTGCCACAATTCTTCTGTATATGTTTTTGCTATAGATAATGATACCAGCAACCGCTGTATTGAAATGTGTCTTTCAGTGTCCTAAAGGTTTCTGTCCCCCACAAATGATTCCTCTGTTTTTTCATTCTTCATTCTCAAGGTGCTTTTGAATTTCCTTTAATTTTCTTTTGGCTATGTCTTCCAGCTTGCTATATTGTTGGGAGGTGTCTGAAAGTACTGTGCATACCACCACCACCCCTTTCCTTATATATCATTCCAGTGCTCTGCAGCCTTTATGACTGCTCATGCTTCTTCACCTGAAAAAGTCCTAAGAGAGAACTTTCCTTTGAACTTTCACTGAAGTGTGGAAAGTTGGAGGAGCTGCAGAACAGGTGGAGAGCATACAGTAAAAATGAAGAGACTTAGATCCATATCTCAGCCTTTGTCACCAAGATCTTATAAACGTACCCATGAAAACTCCACTGGAAATTTTCCTCTTTAGACAAGTCTTTAAAAAAGAAGTTATTGTTTGAAAAAAATTGGGTTTGGAAATATTTGGAATTCAGCAAATAATACCATATTTGGATAGTTTCGAATATATCCAAATCCAAATTTGATAGTTCCAAATATATGCAATAATAGCCTCCTGATTGAGGTTGCCATGGGTTTTCCAAGCGGGGGCTGGGGAGAAAGCAAATTCTATAAATGACATCTGTCTGCACCAACAAAATCTAGAAGCAGGCATGGACATCAGAAGGTATTTTTTGACATTGCTTCTGTTCAGTTGAAAAGTGGGCCTTGCTGCGTATAAGTCCCCAAAACATTTACTGTTAGGAGTTGCTGGGGTACAAGCCTGTACTGCAGCAGTTTTCTTTGTATCCTTTTCTGAAACCTCAACTTTCATTTCCATTCTCTACATCAATTTGTATATAGTTTACTCATTGTATTTAGGAGTAAGATTTAGGATTAGTAGACCCATAGATTAATAAATTATATATCAACAGAGAAATATTATATTAGATTTCGGCCACTTTAGGGTATATTAGGCAGGGGAATAAAATTTTGAGATATTTAGATATATTAAGTTAACAGTTGTTGTGTTTCTCTCTCTCTCTGATTTTCATTGGAAGGGTATTCTACTGTAGCAGAATCGGTTCCTGCTTCTCTTTGGGTAGCCTGTACACAGTATGAAAAGTGGGTGCAGTAAAATAAGTAGGTACTTGGGAAAAGCTGTAGGGACACTGCCTGCACCCGGTACAGCAGCTTCTACTGAGAGAAGTAGGAGAGGAAGAGGAAAAAGCTTACAACTGCCATTATGTGCCAGCCCACCCACCCCCAACAACATTTATCATCCAGCTGCCTTGCTCAGCACTAACACTATGAAAAAGCAGCAGGCAGAAGTACAGGTTGTGCATAAGGCAGCACACAAGGGCAACATATAAGTGGCCCCTGTTGAATGTGGCTGTGGTGGAGGCAGCCATACAGCTCACAACATTCAAGAGGCCCTGAGGAACATGCCGCAGCAGTGGAGTCTAGCTACAGAAAGGCAAGGTCTGTTTGTCACAGACAACGGGGTAAACATAGTGGAATCCCTGCAGGCTGGGAAGATGAAGTGGGTGGGGTGTATGGTTCAAACTTTCAACCAAATAATTTCAGGGTGCTTTGCAGCCTGTATACCTAATATGATTTAGTGGGCTAGAAAGGTGGCAGGGCATTTTCATCACAGTGTCCAGGGCAGTGACCTGTTTTGTTTTGTTTTTTAATAGGAGAAAATAATGATGATATAGTATTCATATTGACTGTAATAGAGTTTCAGATATTCAGAAATTCTGAATTTTAAAAAATCTGAATTGGGACAGCTGTATTTACAATTTCTGAATCTGAATTCCAAATCCAACTTTTGGGGCTAGTGCATAACCCTATTTTAGTGTGCATGAGAGGCTGCGGGATCACCAATGGAGGGGGGGGAGGAGATATGAGATCGGGCAGAAGTGCCTCACTGGCTGCATCCTGGCCATAAGAGCCAGAAATTCAAAAGGAAAGATACATATTTCTCATTTGAACTCAAATAAATCTTGTGCTATATTTTTGTTCCCTTGCAGGCAACAGCCTCAGATTCCAATCACCACAGGCACAGGTGTGGTCTATCCCGGTGCTATTACTATGGCAACAACCACGCCATCGCCACAGATGACATCTGATTGCTCCAGCACTTCTGCGAGCCCTGAGCCTAGCATCCCTGTCATTCAGAGCACTTATGGCATGAAGACAGACAGCGGGAGCCTGGCTGGCAACGACATGATAAATGGGGAGGACGAGATGGAAATGTATGAGGACTTTGAGGATGACCCCAAATCAGACTATAGCAGTGAGAATGAAGCCCACGAGGCAGTCACTGCCAACTGAGGATGTTAGCTGGATTAAAGTACTCTGACTTTTTGTTTTTGTTTTGTTTGTTTTGAACAAAAAGTTCTTAAGTGAGCCTGCATGCATGTGTGGCTCCAACAGTTACATCTGCAGAATGGTCTTAAATGTTTCTTAATGTGTGACACAGATTGTTCCCTAATTTTCATGAACTTTTTTTTTAATTTAGGTGAAGACATTAAGTATCAGACATTGGGACTTGAAAACTTATATGAATCAGCTCTCTTACAAGTCTTACCTTTTTTTTTTGGTCTTTTTGTTTTTCTTCTCCTGGATACTGATAAAAAAAGGTTTAAGTTACTGTTTTAAATGGGGGTTTTACATTCTCACTCAGGTATGCTGTGCCAGCCTACAGGTTGTGAATGTGTTTTTATTCTGAATTACTTTAGAAAACAAAAACAAACAAAAAAATCTGAAATTTTCCTATTATGAAACAGAACAAGTCATATATGTGTCTTAGTCCATCTTTTTTAAACAAGATCTCTAAATTCCATTTTTTCCCTTTCTCTCCACATGTTTATTTGATCTTCTGATGTGCCAAACTTACAGAACTTTTGAATCTTAACATTTTGAAAAGTCTTAAGAGAGACACTGTAAAGTCTTAGACAATCCTTTGGCCTCGTAAAAATATCTGTCTTTTGAAATACCAACCACCTATTTTTTTTTCCAGAAAATGATTAAATACTCAGGAATCTGGAGATAGGATATTCTTAAAATAGTGAACATAATTGCCACAATGCACTTGCCCATTTGTATCTGCCTCTTGATATTGCAGCAGTATAAAGTATTAAAGAAGCACAAAAGAGCGATCACCAGCTACAGACAAGCCTGTCTTAAAACATACAGAGCCACTTCCAAATCCAGTCTCTTTCCTTTGGCTTTTAACCCTTACATTCAGTCTTAACTAGGCTTTCTCTTAAACAATTTATTCATTCCAGAATGTCAGGGGTCCATATCCATTTGTGGGTTTTTTTTAAACACACCTTCAAAGCTAAATTTGTGATGGCTGTTGACTTCTTTATTTAAAAACAACGACAACAACCAACCAACAAACTGTTACCTTAGAGTCTGTGGGCATCATAAAAAAGGAAAGGCATTTAATATTGACAATGAGCTATATGCTCTTATGGGAAATGAAGTTTACGCATGTCAGCAAGACTTAGAAACCATGACCCCAGGCCTTCTAAATGTACCAGATTACAGCACATCCTATCAATGGTCATGTTGGCTGGGGAAGATAGGAGTTGCTGGCTAGGAACAAGGTGAGGCACCAGATTGGGCAAAGTTACTCTGGGACATGCAGGGACAAAAGGATACTGAACCTTTCTGGTTTTGTGCAAAGTATTGGGTCTCTGTGTCTGTCATGGATCAGAAACCAAAGAATTACCCAGCTAGGTCCAAAGGACCAGTAGTTTGGCATTAGGTTTCTTGAGACATAGTCCACCCTGCACAGCAAACTGGTTCTGAAATTAAGGGAAGTTGTTTCAGAATTTGTTATTTGACAATGATAGCCGTAGTGCTTCAAAGGAATAGCAAGGTCAACATCCCATGAGAACGAAGGCTGTAGTCCAGGATAGGTATGCATCTTTTTCACTCCAGCACCTGGAGCCATACCAAAGTGGGTAAAAATGCCCCCCCTCCAAAAGACAAAGAAGTGCATGGATGGCCATGCCTATTCTTCATATGTGGGTTTGATCTCCTTACATCACAAGCCACAATTTTATATATTATATATACTGTATATATAATTGTGGCTTGTGATGTAAGGATATATTTCATTGGCAGGCCAAGGGTGTTCTTGGATGCCTGAACAGGTTGCAAAAATGTCCCTGGGGCACCAAGGGCAGACTGTGAGCTGCACCAGGTCCATCCTTGCAGGAAAGGTGTTGACAGTGGAAACTCCATTTAATCTTCTACAGAAATTTTGGAAGATATAAAATCCTAGTGTTTAAGGTTTCCTGTATTGCTGTTGTTAATACAGTCAATGTGAAGGAGCCTGTTGACCACAGTCAATATGTGACACTATCTACGAAAAAGTCATAGAAAAAGACGCAAATAGCTGAGATAAATGAGATATCAAAGAGCTGAAAAGTTGTAAAGGATTTAAAATCTCAAACCCATCCCTTCAACTCACAGATTGCCATTAATATACTGTAATTGTAATCTTTTAGGTCTCATCCACACTAGCATGTTTACTACACAGAATGAAGTTTGACTGCTTTATGTTACTTTGCCTACAAAAGGAAAAAAACAAAACAAAGCAGAGACATCTATTTCTTAAGCATGATATAAAATTATATCAATATTTGTAAAACATTATCAATGTTGTGATCAAAGATGTTAAAGGAAATATGAAACCGTACTCATTTCATTGCTAACATAGAACTGGGTTAACTACACATCTAATTTCTAATTAGTCTGACGTGGGTGGTGATAAAATACAGCTTCCCCAGATTAATACTCTTTGTCTTAATAATAATAATAACATAATGGTCCAAATCAGTACTTGGTGGATGCCAGAGCTTGATGCAGAAATTTGAACCTGATCAGTTTTCTGCAGCAGGAACATCTAGCTTAAGGTCTATTATATGGATTACGTACGTACGTACGTACGTACGTACGTACATACGTACGTACATACATACATACATACATACATACATACATAGTCATGACCATCAATAATTGTAAGGATTTTAGGTTGCTATATACTGTAGAAATATGGTGATTTGTTCACTTAAGCTTTTGATGAATTAAAGCCAACTTTGCACATGCACTTCACAGTGAGGGAACCCCATTACACTAAATCCATGTAGTGGTCACTTTAGCGTCACAGTACTTGTGTGCAATATACTTTACATCAGCACAAACTGTCAATGGGATTTTTTACATGGTAGCAGTGACAACCATGTGCAATAGTGATACAGAGTACGTCCACACAAGTGTATTTGTGTGCAGTGTGGAATTATGTTAAGGAATCTGCTTTATAATTCAATATGTCCATCAATAATGAAGGAAAAGGACTATATTTACTGAGAGAAAATAGTGACAGGGTTAAACATTTTGTGCACCCAGTGTGATGGCAAAGATGATAAACCAGCACATGATTACAGTAATATGAGGCATGATCTAGTTGTTCCTGATATTGTGGCCTGCAACCCACATCCTTATATGTCCAGAAACTTTTCACTACTTTTTATGGCAGACAGGATTTGTTTTGGCTTCCATCAGGCAGTATGTCTGGCTTGCACACAATACACTTTACCTGTAGATGAAACACACCTTTTGGTTTTTCACTTCCTTGACTTCAGCAGCTTCAGAATTGTACAGTAAAATCTGTGCAGAATGCTATCATGCTATCAAACAACCTTCAAGAGGTTTTTTTTTTTTTTTTAAAGAGGGGCAAATAATGGCAATAATGCCCTGGTACTAACTACTGCTGGAGACATCTAGGGAGTTTTTGCAGTGTTAAATCACACAATTTAAATCACACAAATAAATGAGGACTGCTGAATCTGCAAGAGTAAATAGAGCAACAGCAATCTGTAGCTATGTTAGAATAAATATCTGCACTTATTAAACTTTGGCAGCCATTTCGTAATTTGGATACAATGACTTATCTTTACTATTTTTGAATAGTGTTCCCATGTCTACATCTAAAGCAATAAAACTGGTTTAGGCACTTGTTGTCATTAGCTGGTGAGCGCCCTCTTTATCTAGTCAAGGTACTGAAGGAAAGTCCTTTGTAACTAAGATTGCTTGGGAATTTGAACTGATCTAATACATATAGCATAGAGCAAGGGTACCCATTCTTTCCTTAAGAATAACTATTTATTAATTTCTCACACATTTCTCCTGCTATAAATCTCTCTCAGTTCTAGAACTAATTTCTTTTCTTTCCATTTCTTCTTGGGTTTTGTTGTTGTTATTGCTTCATATGGTAGAATGCTGTATTGCTTGCATTGTATTTTGTGTAATTATTTTTGCACAAACGCAAACATTTAGTTTAGTGGATTAATTTCTTTTTATAAATTTTATGACCATGCCAAAATAATATTCTGCAGGCTGGCGGAGAACAAAGGACTGTTCTTTATGGCTGAAACTTGATTTTGCTTGTAGTACAAAAACACACCCTCACAGATGTTGTTTCGTAAGTGTTATAAGCACTGGATATAAATGGTATTTTTTATCACTTCTAACTAATGTGAAACTGTTGTACAAAAACGACACGAACAAAAGTCATCTGTTTCGACTCGTGTGGGCCTGCCTCACAGTTGCCGGATTTGAGTCATTTTTATGTCTTGTTATTTCATTTATTTATGCAAGATTCGTATATGTATGAACACTTTGTTTTAGCTCCAGCCCAGCATCTGTGTTGATGCTCTGTAACTTAAAGGTGCATTTTGAACATCAGTTGACTCTTCATGAGTCAGCAGATGGTAGAATGCTATGTTAGACAGGAGGGATGAAAACATATTTGAATCTAAAAAGGGGCAGAAGGAGATTATTGTATTTATTAGCCAATATTGGCTCTAAAGTGTCAGTGGAAACCGAGGAAGGACAATCGCTTGGAAACAAAAACATTCTGTTGTTTTTTTCTTTCCTTTCCTTTTCTTATTTCTTTCTCTCTTTTTTTCTTCCTTTGCATTCTTAATTGGAGCTCAAAACAAGGTTTTTGATTAATCACCATCTCATTGTAGTTTTTTTTTAAAAAAAGAAATGTGTAAATATAACATAGGAAATAGAAATTTATTTTTTGTTCATGGATCCTTAGTAAAGTATAAGTTATGTATTTACTTTTGTTCTGTATCAGTGTACATTGGTCCATATTAAATGCTGACAAATCACTGTACCTCATGTAGATACTGAATTTTCACCTGCAGTGCGAGAGCAGTATTGTGGACCTGTAGCTAGGATGGCAAGATGCCTCACTTGTGCCCTCCTTGGACTCTGAATCCCTTATTTCATAAACACAGGCCATTTCAAAATATTGCACCTGCTTATGGAATAACAATCCTCATTTTCTTTACTCTCTGGTAGTGGCTGGGACTGCTAAAACATTAGGCAGAGAAACCTGATCTAATAGGCTGGTCCTAAGAAATGAGGGCTTGGGATGTGGAGTGTCAGCTCCTCCCCATGTGCAACATTAGAGTGTAACTCAAAGGATCATAGTCACCTCTGACTCAGTCACCTCTAACTCTCCATTTACGTTAATGGGGCAGGTTGGTCACAACTAATTAAGGCCCATTGAATTCAATGAAACTATGTTGCTCTTAATCTGAGCTGTGATGCAGCACTGCTGTTGGTGGCTGACAGAACAGCCATTGCTCTGGTACTTCTGCAAATGCTGAACAGTGAATTTCTCCTGTCTTCAAAGTCTGCCACACAAATAGTTTCCTTCTCCCCACCTCGCCCACCCCCACCCCATTAAGAAGGGTTACTGTAAAAAGCAACCGCTTTTAAAAATGGATTATTTTAAGTGCCAGATTTCTGGTTTCACTTGTAGTCAATTTGCTTCATAATTTGCAGTTTGTTTGCAAGCAAAACTTCTTGCTTGAAAGCAACCATTGTGAATAACAAAATGTGTCCATGTTCATGACAAATGAATAAGTAAATATAGATGCTCTAGAAGTTTGCCATTAACCAGGCATTAGTTCAGTGATGCCAGTTATTAAATACAGTGCTGAACTGGATTGATCTGTGTTTGGTGTCAGCGGTACAGGCCTGTCATGGTAGTGTATATCCTTGCTGCCTAGAACAGCCCAAGGGGAAGAAATCTAATGCCCCCAAACAGTGCTCATTTAAAAATTAAAACCTGTTGCCATGCACATATAATAAGTGTATGTGGACTATGAACAGTTGATCTTTTATTTCCACTGGTGATCGTCAATATATTACCTTAGCAAAGTAAAGATGATAAAAGATTTTGTAACTAGCTAAAAAAAATCCCTCAATAAAATGTTACCTGCAACAATTCTTTTTAAAAATAATTGTTCCTTTGACTTCATAGTGGACAAAATGCAAAATCAAGTCTTAATGAAAGTGAAACACAACTTGACAGGGTTTATAAGTAGAATAAGAAGGAGACCACAGTTCTGATTGAAGGTCTCTTTCCTTAGAATCTCAGTAGTCGTCTTAAACTGAATCAGAATGTTTGTTCATCTAGCCCTTCAGATCTACAGATAGCAGTTTTTAGGCAAAGGTCTTTTGCCTTTCCGGCTAGTAGGCATCTTTTCAACCAGAAATGCCAGATTTTGAACCTGGGGTGGTATAAATGCAGCATGTGTGCTTTGCCACTGAGCTGCCACCCCACCTCTACTTTTTTAAAAATGTGTGCTAGTACCAAATATGTGTTATAGGATTGCCATCTCATCCCAAACGAGTGTGCTCCAGTAACAGTGAGACAGTGGGAGGGTGAAAATCAGAAAGGATTACATGGCAACTACTCCAGTCCCTATGTCTACACCAGTGTTCATTGAGATGTGTGTGTGCATTTTTATTTACAATAAATATAGAACCCTGTGAAAAAAAGAAAGACAGCAGTAACTTGAAAGTAAGGATTGTTTAAAATGATTGTGTAAATGAAACAATGATTATGTAAATGCAAGCATCCCCCGATACAAACGTAAAGCATGACCTCCTTCTGTACCTACTGTTGCTCTTTGTCTTATTGAAGCTTAACATTTCTTTCTAGTTTACTGCAAATAATTTCCCAGTAAGAAGTACCACAATGCTCCAGACCAGGAAAGCACTTAGAGCTGGAATCCTCAAACTGCAAATTCTGGAATAGTCTCAATGAAAATCCACGTTACTACTCCAGAGTAGGTGGTATGAAGACCTCCAGCCTCAGGCACCCATTTAACTTTAAGCAACCGAGCCATTCTACTGAAATCAAAAATATTTAGGAATATGTTTGAAGTTAAGCAGAATTTTATGTGTATATCTGGATGGGTTTCTCAGTGCCAACCATGGCTCTGGAAATGCAGCTGGTAGAATGTATAATAGAGTACTTCATATTTTCAATAAAAGATATTTGCATGTGTGTTTAAAAGACTGAAGTTGGCACTTAAGCATGTCCTGTTGAAAAACTAATATGTGACCTCATTTGATGACTTAAAAAAATAATAATAATAAAGGCACTTAACTTTTCCACCTCAAACTCACTTCACTTTCCTCTCCACCCTCTCTCCCACCATTACCTTTTTCTACAAACATTGTTCTCTGGTTTCTTTTCTTGGACAATGTGTTTGAGATACTGTGATTCCTACTCTGGAACACAAAAAAGCATTCAAACAAGTGTCAGGTTTTCTAGAGCCAAGTTGATGTCATTTGATTCAATCTCCCACCCACCCCTTTTAAAAATCCAAGATTAATTTTTCAAAGCTGTAAAAAAGAAAGTATTCTGAGGAAGTTCACTCGCTCTGTGCAAAGAGGAGGGGGTGGGTCTGGAGTATATGTGTGAAAGGAAAATATATCCAATTGGTATTTATGGCAATATGAAAGCTATAAAGCAGCTTAGTGACACAGCTTGCTTTATAACTTCTGCCTTCTTCAAAAACCACAAGTGAGGTCCTTGGTGCTCTCAAAAGTTTGGGGAATGTGCAAATATTTAACTGTTTGTATGCTGCACATTGCAGACCTGCTAGCGTGCATTCTCCGTTCGTCTTCCTTTGTCATTTGTGTTTTGCTTTCTCAAAAGCACAGGGTTTCCCCCCCCCTTGGACCCTTCATCGGCCTGTAGCAAATGTTAGAATGTTATAGTATTTCTGTTCCTTTATTATTGTATTTGCCATGTACAAATGTTTTTTTATTACATAAAGACGAGCTTATAAGCTGTTACTTACTGTAACTCTTTTCTTTCCTGACATTGTAATTTGTTTGTGATGTATATTGTGAGATTGTATTCTATGTTAATTTAATCAGCACAATTCACTGACATGCTGGACTGACATGCTAGCTGCTGTTTCAAAGTGTAAAGTTTTTTTGTGTGTGTGTTTAGAGCTGGTGGGGGGGAAACAACCGAGACTCCCCTTATCAAGGTACTATGCTTTTGTTCCTATAGCAACAGAGTGGGTGTGGCTCTTAAGCTAGGGCTGCTGTTTCTGCACCCACACGCAAATTTTTTAACTGGCAGGTTTTCTTTGTAGAAATTCTATATACAGTGCAGGTACCTACCTGGGCCCAGGGCTGGTAATTATTTGGGCATGTAGAGGGGGGGGGAAACCCTAGTGTCTATTGCTGCTTTGAATATGTTTTAAAAGTCTGAAAATGTAAATAGTTTATCAAAAAAGAAAAAAAACCTTGTACAGTCCAGTGTAAAGTTTTTAAATGAACTTAGAAGTTGCCATCACATCTCCTTCACACTCTCCTCCTGAAGCAGTTTGAAAAGAAAAAGAAAAGAAAAAAAATTGCTGAGGATGCTGTTTTTTTAAAAAAAGTATCTGTGCTCTTAATTTAAGAGAAAAAACAAAACAACAAAAAAAGGAATCATTCTTAGCTTTGTTTCACACCGTAAGCAGACTTCTTGGATTTTGTTGTGCAGTATTGACGTGAGGTAAATTAAATAATTTTTCAGTGGTACTTTTAGAGTCATCTCCTCTCCTCTGCCTCAGAAATTAATGGAAAAGACAAACGGAAAGATGCTGTCTTTATATCATATATTCTGGTGTATGTTGGCACCTTACCTATATATTTGAGGGGATCCTTTTTTTCTTTTTTTTCTTTTCTTTTTGCACAAGGTGCTTTCCTGATATGTTAGACATGTCATCATTGGGTAATACCATATATGCCATGATAAGGGGTTCTGACCCCTCAGGGGAGTGTCTATAAGACTGCCTATTTATGCTCATTTACCTCAAGACTGTCCTCTCTACCCTTAATCTATTCACCATCACTCCATCTTTTGTACTGCTGTTGACACTTACAGATTAAAGATAAATTTTGTTTTATGACGTGTGTGGCTTTTTCTGTGGAGGCTTTTTATATGTAGGTTGGCTTTGGGTCCCAAGGAGATCAGTTGGCCACTGCCTTCTTCACCAGGCTCCAAACTCTCTCCTCCCTCCTGCTTGTTGTCAGTCTGTTGAATGCTTTTTTGTGTCACATAAGCAGTTTGGTTTTTGAACTATTGGTGCTTTTCTGTCTTGACAAGCTCAAGCTGCTTATTTCTGGTGTGAGTGATGTGCTAGTAAGCAGTGTTTCTAGAATCAGACTAGTCTGAGTAGTCTGAGGCTGTTTTGAGTAGTAATGAGACAGAGAAAAGTTTATCCCATTGCTAACTCACCTTCACTTTTCTTTCTCTTAGAATCCCATTAGAAAAACTGACTGAATTTGAACAGTGAAAACTATAGGTTAGGCCAAGAATGGCAGAACTGCTTTTTTACATTTGGCTTTTGGAACAGCAGTTCTGAGCCCCCACACAGTAAACTAATAAACTACACTGAAATATCCTATAGTAATAGAAAACTCAAGTGGAATCTAGTCCACTCCCCCAAACACTTATTTTTTCAAAATAAAAAATAGGAGAGAGAAAATGTATTGTTCTCTGTAGCAGAGGTGGACAAATTCCAGACATGTTAGGGCTGTATACATTCACCCCAGACATAGGATGGCTGCCTCAGCTTCCGTGCCCTGCCCACCTCCCAAATATTTTCTCTTTTGGAAGGCTTTTTGTTCATAGAAAAAAAATGATTGCACCCTCTAGTGGATAAA